CACACACACACACACACAACACAAACACACACTGATTTTTAAAACTGTTTTCTTCTGAGACATAATAGCCCATCCCATAAAGATTAGTCTAGAAGTAAATCACTTCATAGTCACTTAATATAAGCATGCTTGGGAAGATCGCTTAATTCCTTCCTATCTTCCATGGATTTATTCCTGAAACTGTCACATTGAATCTGGGTTTCTTCCTTTCCTTCATTGAAAAAGTGAAAACCTACAGTTAACCATGCTGATTTCCCCACTCCCAAAGGGGTTCTTTTTCATCAGCACAGTAGATTTTAGGTCTTTCAAGAAATTGAGACCACGAGGAGGGAGAATCCAAGAGGCAGAGGAAGGCATTTGGCTCTGTTTGTACTGTCTATAAATGCTTCTGCTGCTACTCCCCAAAACAGGTGTTCAAGCTGTGTTGGCTCAAGACAACATAATCTTAAAGAGTCTCCATTCCCTTGGCCCACTTTCCAGTCTGAGAAATCCTAGTCTAACTGATCCAGGATTGTAGGTGAGAATACTTCCTTCTATCCAGGAATATATACAAATCTGAATTGTTTTATTCTTCTTAATCAGCTCAGAACTTCTTTTCCAACCAATCACCCAACTCTTGGACACCATCACATTTTAAGAATAGGAGTTATTAGAGAACACAAATCCACTTTGATTTGGAAAGTCCATAGCATGCTCTAAACCTGGGCAGAAGCACAAAATTGCTATTTGCCATTGAGAGTGAGAATAAAAACATATCCCACTTGAGTGTAAAGTAGACTACTTATTTGATTTCTCAAAGTCAACTGTATTTCAGATAAACAGGGAAAAATGATAATAATCACTGTTAGGTTTTCTGGGTATGTTCAAGTGCTCTCTTTATGTAATGTTACTAACTGATAGTGACATAAAAATACATAGAGTGTATTAATATAAAAATTACTGAGACCAACAGGATTCATTACAGCATGTATTAACCACAAGTTTTAAAACAGGAAGAGACCTGGATTTATCCTTAATACATGATTTTTGCACATGTAAATCACTTACACATGGGCCTTAGATCTCTACATCTAATAATAAAATATATTTAATTACTACTTCTAAGAATTATATAGCATCATAGTTAAGGAAGCTTATTTTATTATAGGATTCATTGGGTGTTTTTTCTATTATTCAGAAAGGAATGATTTTTTTTTCTAACTTAATTAAAATTTTGTGTCGAAGGAATGGAAAACCACTATCAAGTCATTCAGGTCTGAGTCTCGCTAATACCTTAAAATACAATTTTTAAATTGCTTTCTTTCACATTCTCAATGGGCACTGCAGGAAATTTTGTCTTAATTAAACCTGATTTACACTCATTTGGCATTAAACAAAGGTATGGGGGTGGAGGGATGAATAGGCAGAGAACAGAGGATTTTTAGGGCAGTGAAAATACTCTATGATATTATAATGATGGATAGATGTCATTGTACATTTGTCTAAACCCACAGAATGGGTTGGTACAACAAGAGTGAACCCTAATGTAAACTATGGACTTTGGGTGATTATGATGTGTCAGTGTAGGTTCATCCATTGTAACAAATGTACCACTCTGGTGAGGGATATTGATAATGGAGGAGGCTATGCATGTGGTAGGGGTGGGGGTGTATAGAAATCTCTGTACCTTCCTTTCAGTTTTGCTGTGAATCTAAAACTTCAACAAAAAAACATCTTTAGAAATATTTTATTTCTGAGAAATATTACATTTTTTTCAAATTTGTTTGACAGAAATTTGAAAGAAAGCAAAGTGTTTCCTCTCCAACATTCTCTCTCTCTATATATATATCAAATCCTATATGATCCAGCATGAAACATTAATTTTTCCAGAATTTTCTACATTTTATAAATGTATAACTTCTACATGTCATTCTACAATGCTCTTAAGAAGTTAGACATATGTTTATCATCCAACCCAGCACTGCACTGCTAAATATCTATCCAAGAGAAAAGAAAACAAAGATTTGCATGTCAACATTCTTAACATCATGACTCATAATAGTCTCAAATTTTAAAACAATCCAAATGTCGAACCACTGACGAATAGATAGACAAAATGTGGTATATCCATACAATGGAAAACTTCTGAACTGATACACTACAACACAGATAAAACTCAAAAACAATATGTTAAGTGAAAGAAGCCATAAACAAAAGATCACATATGTGATGATTCCATTTTTATAAAATATCCAGATAAGGCAAATCTATAGACTGAAAGTAGATTAGTGGTTTGCCTGAAGCTGGGGGTAAGAATAGAGATTAACTATAAATGGGCATTGAAGGATCTTATTGCGGTGATGAAAATGTTCTAAAACTTAATTATGGTGATGGTTTTACAACTTGGCAAAATGTCTTTAAAAATTATTGAAAGGAGTAAATTTCTAAAAATCTAAATTTCTAGTTTAAAATTGACTAAAGAAGAGAAAAAATCCTTTAACAAAAATAAAATTTGGCACAATTTAAAATATCCTGCATAAGGTATTCCATGAACCTTTGAAGAAAGACTTCATTTTTGTTGAAGAAAGTTTTGGTAAAGATAAAACAAAGAAGTCAATTACTAAAAACTTCTTGCAAATTTTTTTCAACATATATTTTGCTTCAGAATTATATCATTTGATCTTCCAAAACATTGTTTTAGAAAGTGAACTCCCTTAAAATAGTGTCAGGTGAGGTGTATTGACCAACACAGGACTTACTAACAGAAAAAAAAAAAAAGGTTTTCAAAATGCTGGTTTAACTAACCTTGATCCAGAACCTATTCCATTACAGAACTTCCTGTGAGCTTTATGGCCATCAAATCTCATTTTAATAATCCAAAGTCTGAGCTTTTTGAATATTAAATGCCAGAAGGAATTTTTTTAAGCGTAGCAGTGTTAGTAAGACGAAAGGCATCTTACGAAGAGATAAAGTGGACAGATGGAATCTATATGTACACAGAGAGAAACGCAATACTCACAGTAGTTCTAATCCAATACTTTTTCAGTATCCAAACCATTAATATGAGTGTCTTAATTTTTTTAGTTTTTCTAGGTGAATGTCTGTCGTAGGCCTCTAATCTCCACTACTTTACAGTCCTGCACAGACTCCGGCTAATAATACCATATGCAGGTTTTTCTTTGGGGGAGGGGTAGTGCCCCGCTTGTATCAAGCGCTCTTTCAAAGGACCCATGTTTGGATGCGTTCCCTGGGATGAGTTCTACGAAGACAGAACTAGCCCGTCCGTCTCAGCCTCACTGGGCAGAGGTGTGCCAGACGGGGAGCTGGTAAATCAGGGTCATCTCCCCCAGAAGGCACTTTCAGGAGCTTCCCCAACGGCCTGCAGCAGCATCAGTAGTCAGGACCCTCCATCTCCTGAGGCTGCCACCACACTGCACTCGCGTCCCTTCCTGGCTGCCGGCCAGGGTCCTAGGCTCCGTGATATCCCAAGAGCTGCAGGGAACCGATGATTTCACCTGAACTAATCATTCCAATATTTTATCAAATTATGGACCGGAACCGGTAAGGTGAGGTGACTTGGCTAAAGCCACACAGCTCGACGCGGGCAGGACACGGGTCTCTGATGACCCAGTGGACGCGAGCCGCCGCCTGGGGCTGGCAACGCGCAGCCCATGGGAAACGACGTGGCATTGCCGGTGCGAGAAGAGAAGGGCTCAGCAACTTACGACAGGAGGTCACCAATGTCCACCGTCAGGGCAGAGTGGGCAAAAAGAGGTGACCAGCCTTCCCTGTAACGCCTGTTGACCCGAGCGCCCCCTTTCACCCTGTAAGTACCCCCTACATGTTAAATGGTGTGGTCATTCTAGCAAAAGAGGCATCCGCTTTGAATTCCCCCTATGTTTGCGCAGACTAGGAGGAAAAGAGGAAAGTTGCACTTACCGCAAATTCGCTCGCGGTCTCCCCCGACTCCCCAAGTCCTCTCCCTCCGTCGTCGCACCGACGACAACACTCCCGCCGCCCCCTCACCGCGTACGTACCAGCCGCGCGCAGAGCTGCCTGCCGAGCCGGGCTGGGTCCCCGCGCG